CTTTATAAACCCTGCCCACATTCTTGTAATAGCGTGAAGTAGCAGGGACTACTGTAATTACTACTGTAATTGCCTAAGAACGTTTTTAAGACTGAAGTTGTTTAAAGATGGCGTCAGCCCACTTTGGTCTTGATCGAGCTGAGTTTGCTCATCAGTCTGGTCGGAATTAAACTGTTTTTGTAAACTGAAAACTTTTAAAGAGCTTTCTGCAACAGGATGAATATGATATTAATATTTTATAATTTCAAAAGATCTGAACAATTGCAACTGACTGTGACAAATTTGTAATTATCACATCATGCATTTTGGTAAATTCAAGTTGGATTTCAAAAATAATTCCAATCTTTTAGATTGAATATGTTTTTAGAAGAACCATGAAAACATCAGAATCACTAAGCGTTTATGGATTCTTTCCTGGCTGTGCTCAACTTACTCATTATTAAATGTCTTGCAGGGTAACAATGTGTGAAAAGGACAATTTAATGAATGCAGAAAACTTGGGGATTGTGTTTGGCCCGACTCTTATGCAGCCCCCGGAGCAGAACGCCTTGATCACCCTCAACGACATGAGGCAACAGAAACTGGTGGTCCAGCTCATGATCGAGCATGAGGATGTCTTATTCTGAGGACAAGTGTCGTGAGAGAAGTGACAGACAATTATTTATTCTGTGGAAGAGGACATTGAAGCCACGTCTTTTGAAGTGAAGACTCCAAAAAGTTTGTGATGAAGCTGAACTACATTACGTTTTAGCATGACCGTTTTCGTTGAAGTTGGTTTGATTTTGTCTTGTTACTGTACGTCGTTGCAATCTCAGCCATCATCATCGTTTTTATAGGAAAGACTGGTGTGATTTTAGCTCTCAGTAGTTGGAGAACTGTAACTACCTGGTGTAGATGCAGTCAGGATGGCAGTCAGCGAAGGCCTGGTGCTGTGTGAAATAAAAACTCCACATTTTTGTGGGATTAAAAGTTGAACGATACAATCTGCATCCTTTTACTGTAGATAAAACATGACTGTATAATGAACAATTCTTACTGTGTGTATTTAAATAAAGAGAAATAAGTCAAATTAAGCACTTTTTTTGCATTAAGTGTAAAGACTTTTAAATGTTTCTTTTTGTTGTTTTTTGTTTAGTATTTTTCCCTATGTCACATTAATATATGTCCTTAAAAATGTTCAGTGAGCAAGAGTTTGCTGGATCTATCATTTTCTGCAAATAACACACTCAAATCATTGATTATGTCTAACTTAAACTGCAACACAAGGTACAAACTTTTCTGCACAAGTTTGTTTGGCAGTGCTGCAATATTTCCATGCACATGCTGCAATCTGGGATACATTTATGTGAGAAGGACAAGCGTCAAATTCGAAGACATTTTCAGCCATTCAGTCCAGTACCTCTGCCAACGTCACCAGTTAGTTGACAAAACATGAGCTGCCTGTGCTGAGCATGCTCTTTTCCAACTTGATTTATTGTGATTCTTGAATACTTTCTACAGATCTGTTTGATCCAAATGTATTTTTGCAAAAGCTGCAACTGAAATGTAATTTATGAAATAATGTTTTATTAAAAGATAACTTGAGTTTAATACTGAGTGGGGTTTTTTTTTAATTTTTTTATATAAAGCCTCATTGCTGATATCCAGCAGTAGATTACATCAAATAGCTGGGTTTTTATTTTTGTAAGTAATAAATGACAGAGAAATAGTATTTGATATATCCTTATCTTATTCACCTGCTGGTCCAGTTCTGGGTGCAGCAGGGTAAACTCCAGAATTTAGAGAAGAAACAACAGTGGTGCCATAAGCACAGTAATATCCTGTCCTTCAACTTTAAAGCTCTGCTTTGTTTAAAATATGTTTGTCATTCCTGAGAGTGTTGCTCTTACATGCCAGTTACCACGAGACTGTTTTCTTGAGAAACAAAGGGTTACAAAACCTGCCTCCATATAGTAGAACACCTGCGATATTGGCGTTATAATGCTTTGATTGCACCCCAGTCTACTCCGTTGCATCATCAGACCACTCCTGGAGTTTATTTAGCTTCAAAAACTTGGATTTTCATGACATTGTGCTTGACTAATGGTCAGCGAAATCTTGCATTACTTGGAATTATGTGGTTAAAGATAAAAATGAAGACTGGAAGGCTGACAATGTTTCAGTGACTTCTTTGATCTTTAGGAGAGCCGGCTTCTTGTTACAGATTTCATCCTAACATTACTAGTCCACCCATTGAGCCCGGGGCCATAAGAAGAATCTTTGAAGAATGTTACGTAGCTATATAATTGGTCACATTACTCATGATTTGCTGTTATTTTATTAGTGTTCTGATTCTGGTATATGGGACAGCTATGAGCGCCCATCATGTTTGCAATAAGTAAACTTTACGAAAGGGATGATGTTGATAGTAGCAATAAAGTGTGGTTAAAATGGATTTAATTGAATGGTTTATTTTTAAAACTTTACCTCAAAAAACACTTTTTAATGTTTTCATTGTTATAAATCAATTTGGTGAACAGAACCTATAGCTGATAAATGTATTATGACAGTAATATTGAATATAAATATAACTGAGGGGAAACCTGCAAAATGTGAACAACCAGAATTTTAGCTGACCACAGCACCCAGTACAGCAATGTCCTTATAATATAGTGTTGATGACAAGTAATGCAATACGTGACTATACTCTCAATTTGTATAAAATAGGTCAGTCGTATTCTGAGAAGGACCATCAGTAATGCATTTTTGCTGTTTGGTAGGATTTATAAGATGAAAGCTTGGCTGAAATATAAAAGACCTGAGCGCCCTCTAGTGGCTGATGAATGCAGGCACACAAACAACTTGTAGGTCTGTACACACACATACACACAAGTTAACTGTTAAATGCACTAGGAAACATTAACACGCAGTTATCTCCAAAATATTTCATCAGATTAAAAAAAAAGTATATATATACAGTATATATTCCAAATATTGTTCAACTTAAAAACAATTTCTTTGATATTCATCTGGCTGTATGAAATGGAAATACCAATATATTATATAAATAACTATGAAACAGAAAAAAACAGTTTTCAAAGTTTACAAAAGGTAAAAAAAAAAGACAACACTGTTCATGTATAGAGTTTAAAAAAGACATGAAATTTCAATACTGCAGTTCTTTTGTTTTGTGCAACAGTTTCATGTGATATCCTGATGCATGCTCAATAATCCAGGTAGAAAAATCCAAAAAAGTTCAATCTGGTCCTCTGGACTCTGTACTCATCCCTTTAGTTGGCAGCTCAGAACACCACATACATAACACCATGGACTTTGTGGATAAGGTGAGGGATGTCATCATGGAGACTGATGAAACAATGGTCTCTTTTGATGTCACATCACTCTTTACGTGCATTCCTGTTGATGATGCAGTAGAGGTGGTCAGTTTAAGATTAAAATCAGACACCACTCTGAGCAGCAGGACCACGCTTTCCACAGAACAACTGTGTCAACTCTTGAAACTGTGCCTGCAGTCAACCTACTTCACATATGGGGAGCAATATTATAGGCAGAAACATGGGTGTGCTATGGGGTCTCCAGTTTCTCCTATTGTTGCCAACCTGTACATGGAGGAGGTAGAAAAGAGAGCCTTGACGTCCTTTTCAGGGACACCACCAAGTCATTGGTTCAGGTATGTTGACGACACCTGGGTTAAAATTAAATCTCAGGAAGTCCAACATTTTACTGACCACATCAACTCTGTGGATAAATACATCAAGTTCACACGACAAGATGTAAAAAATGGCAAGTTGGCTTTCTTGGACTGTGAGGTCTCAGTCTCGGATAGAGGACATTTGCAAACCGAGGTGTACCGCAAACCCACCCACACAGACCAGTATTTGCAGTTTGACTCCCATCACCCTTTGGAGCACAAGTTAGGAGTCATCAGGACTCTGTATCACAGAGCAGACAGCATCCCCACTAGCTCGGGAGCCAGGCAGAAGGAGAAATCCTACACAAAACAGGCTCTAGAGCAATGTGGATATCCTAACTGGGCCTTCCTGAAAGCAGAGAAGAAACCCAAACAGGACTCCAGTCAGCCATCAGGTGAAAAGGAGGAACCCAGACCCAGACCAGTGGTCATTCCATATGTTGAGGGGGTATCAGAGAAACTGAGACGTTTATTTTCTAAACATAACGTCCCAGTGGCTTTTAAACCCCAAAATACATTACGGCAAAGACTGGTTCATCCCAAAGATCCAGTCCCCCGGCACAAACAGAGTAATGTTGTGTATGCTGTTCAGTGTCAGGAGGGCTGTGATCAGTCTTACATCGGGGAAACTAAACAGCCACTGGCCAAAAGGATGGCCCAGCACAGAAGATCAACATCATCAGGCCAGGATTCTGCGGTCTACACTCATCTCCAGGACAGCGGTCACTCTTTCAGGGATGAAGATGTTCACATCCTGGACAGAGAGGAACGATGGTTTGAGAGAGGAGTAAAGGAGGCCATCTTTGTGAAAATAAATCGTCCATCATTAAACAGGGGTGGAGGCCTCCGGGTTCAACTGTCCCCCTCTTACAATGCTGTGATTGCTAGTATCACTCAGCCCTCTGTGAGTAGTAAACAGCCATCAGTGTGCTAATGATCCATTGTTAGGCTGATGGTCCTTCTTGAGCATGTGATCAGCTGGTTTTGGTTGTCAGCAGCAAACTGGTTGATCCACTCTGAGAAGGTGCTATTTAAGAGACTGAGCTGAAAACAGCACCTCAGACTGAGGAAGTCTCTTGGATGAGAGACGAAACGTTTCTACATTTTTTTGCTTTGTTTTGCTTTTGTTTTTTTGAATGTCCAGAGGACCAGATTGAACTTTTTTGGAGTTTCATGTGATCTTTCAAAAAAAAAAAAAAAGATAAATATGAGTCCTTCAGAACTCATCATGCAGGTAGGTGAACTCCCTGGCAGATATAAAACCATCCTTATCTTCATCTTCATTTTTGAAGATGTCCTCCACCATCACGTCATGTTCCGTGTCATTAGGGAAGTAGCCGTGTTTTTCAAACTCCTTCTTCAAGAACTCTTTCACCTAAAATTTAGCAAAAAAAAAACCAACATCCTCTTCATTAATATCACATTACTTAAATGCTGTTGAACACAAACACATAGAAAAATAAAACAACAACACACCTCTTGTCTGGAGAGTTTCCAGTCGTCATCGAGGTCCATATCCCTGAAAGATTCATGTGACCTGGGACCATTTCGGATCTCCATGAGCTCAATGTCAAAAATCAAAGTACTGCTTGGAGGAATATTACCTGTAATCAAAGAAAGACGTTAAAATAATGATGAAATGGAACAAACATGTTTTTTTTTTTTTTTAGATAATGATTCAAGGTTCTTTATTGCCATTCACACGCCGAACAACAGCGGCACGAACATGAGTCTGTGTGAGCAGATGAGTACGAATGAACACAGCAGCGTGAAATAAATCAGCAGCATGAGATCAGCAGCATGGATAATCAGCAGCATGGATAATAATGAGAGTTACCTTGTCCTTCCTTGCCATATGCAAGTGATGGAGGGATGGTCAGCTTCCTGCGCTCTCCTGCACACATGTTCTGCAGACCTTTGTCCCAGCCTTTCAGCACCTCTTTCATCCCAAGAGTGAACCAAAGAGGGTTTTTATCTCCATGTTTGCGGCTGCAAAGGTCGAAAAATCAATCTCAGTTTTGAAATCAAGAAAGCAGAAACATAACCCCATAAAATAGTGAAATAAATGTCTGCCACGTAAAAAATTTGAATACTGGCTCCAGAGCTATTTGTGACACAATTACCATTTGATTTGCTGCTGTAATACTTTATAATATACCGTTTACAAATATGGACATTTTCTCTAAACACAGTTTAACTCTGAATACAGTAATTTATATATTATTACTGGTAATTACCTGGAATGAAACATTGTGCCATTACTCTCCAGAAATCCCTCGTAATGAACAAGAAGCATGTCTCCATATTTTGTTTTGCGTGAACACAGGAAAGGTTTGTGCATCACCTCGATTTTCACGTCGGGTTCAGGAAGTTTCCCCCCAGTGACAAAAACAAATACTGAAGGTAATATCGATAAAACAGAAAATAGCATCATTGACGCTAATAGATTTTCTCAATGAGAAAACGGGGAATCTATATCAATTATTCTACAAATGTCTAAGCCTAAACCATTCTTACGTGGCAGCGGAACTTTTTCCACTTTTCTACGGCCTGCCCACCTCCCGCTACAATTGGTTACATACTTTAAAGATTAAACGTAATCTATGTATACCTATTTCTTATTGGCTGGTTTTTGTGTCAATCATCCAAATCCACACCCAAAATACCAAAATCCTTTTTACGTAAGCAGAAAGAACGACGTCTTTCGATTGGTTGGAGCTTTATTCACAAAACCCTACGTACTTTTCTTCACGTAGTCCAAATACAAACAAGTACGTTGCTCCGCAAAATCACTCTGGCCCGATAGAGTCGCCGCAATCAGCTGTGCTTGTGCCACACATCTCGTTATGATAAACAAGTAATGAAATATATAAAAAACACTTATTTAAACAATGGAAGGCGTGCTGTATAAATGGACAAATTACATAAGTGGTAAGTTTATTTTTTTCTGTTGTGTTATTTGCGACGGCTGTCTTGAACTGAGTTTGTGACATCGTTAGCTAACGTTAGCTAACTGTCAGCTTTTTGTCTGTCAGACTTTATTCGCTACTTTAAAACTAACGGAATTCGTTTTCGTCTTGCTATATGAGTTGCTTACTAAAAAGTTCATTTTGTATATGTATATATATATTTACCGGTGGTGCTTGTCGTTTTATCTACTTTACACGATCGGTCATAATCTGATTTAACAACTGATTAGTGAGGCTAAGCGTAACTAAGCTAGCTGTAAGTTTTCAAGGCCAAATAACACTAAGTTGTGTTCACTTCTACTGAGTGATTCAAGAATTAAAAAGAGCTTTAAACGACAACATTTTAGCAACCGTGTTCTGTTGTTTTTTCAGGCTGGCAGCCTCGCTGGTTTGTGCTTGATGGAGGTACTTTGTCTTACTATGACTCTCAAGAAGACGCGTGGAAAGGTTGTAAAGGCAGCATTAAAATTTCAGTTTGTGAAATCCAAGGTGAGGAGACCCTTTGCTCTGTGCGTTGTTTAAATGCCATGTTTGATTTTGTTTTGGATGTGTTGAGTTGAGAAGCATCACACTTTGCTTGCTGATGTGTTTTAGTTCATTCCTCTGACTGGACACGAGTTGACCTGACTATACCAGGAGAGCAGTACTTTTACCTTAAAGCCATCAATGCAGCGGAGAGGCAGAAATGGTTGGTGGCACTGGGGACAGCTAAAGCCTGCCTTACTGACAACAGGACCAAGAGGGAAAAAGGTATGCAAATGTCGTGGTACAACGTTTGCATGTACATGTACAGCTTTGAGGTTTTTTTTTTTCCCTATGACTGTAAATCCAGAAGATTTCATTCACTGTTTGTTGACAGTTTCCCACTGTTCTGAAGATAGGATATAATTTTGAGATAAAAGTGGAGGTCAGCGCACAGTGCTGCGCTAAAATTTCAAATCACTTTTGTTTGTCATACTTATCCTAGAATAAGTCTTTTTTTTTTTTTAAGTGGTCTTGAGCATTGCTTACATTTTTAAAGGTTCAGTTTTGAATTTAGGTGATTTTTATTTTCTCTTGTTTTATTTTTTTTTTACTAAATTTTAATTTGGTTCTTTGTTATAAAATTGACAGTAAACCAAAGTAATCCAAGCATTAAAAATGTCTTAAATTCCCCAAAATAAACTAGAGTTTGTGTCTACATGTAACAAAAAACATAGCATAGACAGCGGTGGACACAACCTGTTGTCCAAGACTACCTATTTTCATCTCCGACAACCAGATCATGCCTCGAGGTTGTCCCGTGGACAACCAAGTGAAATAGACACAGAATAAAGTTCTCATTCGCTGATGGTGTAATGTAATAATAATCAGGGCTCTCTTGTAAATGAGTCCCCGGGGCTCATTGGGATTAACCTATATAAATAAAAGTTGAATTAATGAAAAATAAATTATTAAATGTGTTTGCATGTGACCAATTCACTGCAGCTGGGGGAGATACTAGAACTGATACAGCACTACCCCCACTCCCTCCTCCCACATCATCCTGCAGAATGTCATTGGTCTTGAGAATAAATGGTGCAGCTTAAAGTCTTCTTTCAACTTCAACAATTCATTAGAGAACACTATACTGTGCACTTTTACTAAGGCTATGTACACAGTATACTCCTTTATATGAAAACCTTTGGGAAGGGACTTTTATACAGGAAAAAACTCAAATGTGTAGTATTGGGTAGGGGATGCTTGGGTAAACCTCTAGGTATAGAAACAATTTCAGTCAAAATATTTTTTCTGCTTTAATCCCTTAGCCTTAAGTACACTACGAGTGCCTTTCTTTCACATTCTGACAAGGAAGAGGATGAGGAGAACAAGGAAATTCCACTTGAGCAGTTCCTGAAACTCTTCCACTCTGTAGCTTGGGAATTTCAAGCAGTCCACAAGATGGCTGACTGAAAACATTTGAATAAAGTAAACTTTGTATATTGTTCAGTATCATATTAAATTACTGTAGATTTAGCTTAAGATTTTTTGCCATTTTATTGTGAAGTTGCAGAAAACGAAAAATGTTGGTGGCCAACCAGATTCTGTAAAGAGGTTGTCCAGACAATTTCCTTATCGAATACATTTGGGGCAGCTGTGGCACAGTGGTAGGACAGCCGACTTGGGATCAGAAAGTCACAGGTTTGTCCCCACCATGCCCATATGTTGTAGTGTTCTTGAGCAAAACACCTATTCCCGAACTGCTGCCCAGGAACTTAAATAGCTTTCCGCTGCTCTACTTGGGTTTATGTCAAGAGTGATTGGTTGAATGCAGAGAACAAATTTCATCACTGTATGGTCACACAAATGATGATACATTTCATTTCAAAACTGAATTTTTAGGAACTTAATGACTTGTACATGAAAGTAAAAACCAAATCATTTTGAAGCATGCTGAAAAATAAAGCCAAGATAAAAATCCAAGCAAGTAAAGTCAGGTCCTCTGGTTGTTTTTTTTGTTTGTTGTTGAAACGTTTCATCTTTCATCCAAAAGACTTCATCAGTCTGAGGACTTGCAACAAACTCAGTCTTATAAATATGAATCGGGATATTTTGAACCACTTTGGCCATGACTGCCTCAAACGAGTCGGTGGGGGAGAGGGCTGACTCCAGAAACCATCTGAGCACCATCAAACTGGTTGATCCACTATGTGAAGGTGCTATTTATAAGACTGAGTTTGTTGCAGCTCCTCGGACTAAAGAAGCTATTTGGATGAAAGACGAAACATTTAAACAAAAATGAAACTGTCCAGAGGACCTGACTTAACTTTGTTGGATTTTTCTGCCTGGATTGTTGAGCATGAACAAAGATAAAAATGTTCATTTTTAAGGAACCCCTTTTGAGGATGTTGTTAATTTACAGGAATTATGTTTTCAAGGTCTTCCACTTCTCTTTCCATCCTTTATTTGTCCACTTTTAGTCAGAAATTTTGGGGGCACAGTGCACGTGTTTGAATAGACAGTATTTTTGATAATTCTGTGAATGCTTATGAAGAATTCACACTACATTTTTGCAGGAAATGCAGTTCCTCTAGTTGCTTCTTGGGAATCATTTTATTCAAGTAAAATGCTTTTTAATGCCTGTCAAACCATTACAACATCTTAACATTTGTTTAATAATTGAAATTAAAGATTATGAAGAAACAAATGAAGAGATGAATGAATAAAACACAAGAAAACAATTGTATTCCACTTTCATAGATTCCTAAAAAGTCTAGCTTCTTGGAAGTAGAAAACATAAAAAATAAGGGTGCCTTGGGTTTCTTTCACAGTTATAAATATTTAAATGCAAGAAAAGTACATGATCAGATATTGTAGGTAAGCATATGTAAAGGCATCAGCTACTTTTATCACATTGAGATTTGAGATTGTGAAGGTTCTTATTTTGGTTTCATTGTACCAACAGATAATGGTGTCTCAAACATAAACATTACAAAAATGCTGAAATAGCTACCTCCACATGACGTGCCTAAATGTTGTGGCAACATCAGAAAAACCCTGACTGTTTAAAATTTACTGTGTTTTATAATAGAGCTTCAGGAGAACACAGAGGCACTAAAAACTAAGATGTCAGAGCTCCGATTGTACTGTGACCTTCTCCTCCAGCAAGTAAACAAGATCAAGGAGAGTGATGAACTAGGAGAAACCGTAGAGGTAAGGTTTGGTTGAGCTGGTGAAATTGAAGACGCTTCTGATTGTGTGAAACGGCAGTAAAAAGTAGCATAAATGCAATTGGCTAAACTTAACATATTTTATAAGGAGAACAAGCAGCACATGCCACAAGTATATTTGAGAACTTGGTTTGATTTGATAGTGTTTTCAGTAGTGTTGTGTTAAAGTGGTTTTAACTCAAATCTGCCTCTTATCTTTTCAGACTGGAACAGACACTGGGAACCTGGTGAGGTCAACATGCACTACTTTCCTTAAGACTCTAGAGGAATGCATGCAGATAGCAAACCATACTTTTAATACAGACATAACTCACAGTCCACCAGGAACTCCACCAGTGGCAGCCATTAAACCCCAGAAGGTACATTTCTCTCTCCCACCTTCTGTCTTGTCTGTTCAACATGACGCTGGTGATTAAAGTTTTTTAACCTCCAAATGTTTGTTTTCCCCAACAGATTAAAACTGCCATTCATTCAAAGCAGATTCTTGAAGAGAAGTATGTGGATTTTTCTATTGTCTATGCAGTAATGCGTATTATGAACTGTCAAACGGCTCTTAGTACTTGCTTCTGACCTTCATCCTTTGAGGTCGAGTATCTGGTGATACCAGTTCTGGACATATTTAAATGTTCTTGCATCACAAATGTACAAGTTAAACACTTGTCACATTAAAGGAAAAAAAAACGGACCCCCCAAAAAACAAAAAAACAAAAATGATCCTTTTTCCCATTACTTCTAACCCTCACTTGAGTATGCTGAATAAACTAGTTTAATTTAGCTAGGTGTTTAAATGTTTGGTGTCTAAATTTGGTAATGTTAAGTTCTTTCACTGCCACCTTTAATTTAACCTTTATTGCTCCCTAGAAACATTCATTAACTTCATTACAAGTAGCTGTTGTACAGTCCTTATATTTATCCATAGATTTGGATTCTGTTATGTAAATTGGAATGGACTGTACATAGCACCTTTCTATCTAATAGATAGAAAGATACTCAAAGTGTTTTAAAACACAATCTGTGCCCTCATTTACCAATCCACACATGCATTCATACATCACTCTACTACATCACTACAAAGCTAATCAAATCATTCTATAGAGACTAATATGTCCTTTAGATCACATTCATACACCGATGGGACACATCAGAGGCAATGAGGGGTTCAGTGTCTTGCCCAGGGACACTTCAGTATGTTACTAGAAAGTGGTGGAATCAAATCCCTCACTCTCCTATTGGAGAACGACTGCTCACTCATCCACAGCTGCCCTAATCCCTATGTGGGATTAGGGCAACAGTGTTACAAAATGGCTAATTGGCATGTTCCCTTTGTAGTAACATATATGAATTTGTGTTTGGCGACCCTAGTAAACACTGATCAAAACATATGAAAAATCTTGATCATGACTATAATGTTTGTAACTGGATCATCATACCCTATTACAATATTCAATTTAGTACACCCACATAAGAGTAGTTATTGAACTGAATATTCCTATATTAAGTCCCACGAAGAAATTACATAAAAATGAACAAATGGATGTTAAAATCAGTTGATAAATTGTTGAAACATTGGAAGTGTAGCAGAGAGATTAAGGGATGGGTCTTCAGAAACGATAAATGCATTGAAGTATTACGCTTGTTGGCTGGCAACAACTTTGTGAAATGAACTGTCTGCTAAAGCAACACGTGCACATTATTGATAGAAAATACAGACAAAAATCTGGCAGCTAAGTGTCTGGAATGCCTTAATGCATGCTTAACAGTGATATACACTGTTTATCCAGAACATCATCTGTTCTGATTGTCACTGTTGTAGTAGCTTACATACATACTTGCATACTATTCCCATTCTTGCTTTGTCCTTTTCAAATTTTTATATTATTACATGTTCATCTTCGGCTTGTCGGGAATTTGGGAGTTATAATCACAGCTTTTCTTTAAAATCTCCCTCATAATGCATCTCTCCTTCTGTTCTGGTTATTCAGTTTATCAAATGTTATAAAGTAGAAAAAGTACAAGCAGAAATTTCTCATACAGCACAACATCCAAACCAATCGCTTGTGGTGTACCTCAGGGGTCAGTATTTGGCCCTAAACTGTTTATTTTATACATTAATGACATTTATAACGTTTCCAAAGTGTTAAAAATGGCAATATTTGCTGATGAAATAAGTGTTTTTTGTTTTGGAGATAGTTGGCAGAATTTACTTGAAATAACTGAAATCATTAAATTAAAGATTTGGTTTGATAGAAAATAAATTATCACTAAATTTGAATAAAACTAAAATACTGTTATTTGGAAGTAGCACATCAAATACACAAGTAATTATTCAAATAAATGGGGTTGATGTAGAACAAGTTGGTGAAATCAGATTTTGTGGGGTAATAGTGGATGAAGAAGCTTTGCAGTACTGAATAAGGCCAAGCAGGTATTGGATCGGACATCACTCCATATCCTCTAATGTTCACTAGTTTCACTGTTCCAGATCTAGTAGTTTCAAACACTACACATTTTGTTTAAAGCCAAACGTGATACTTTATTTGGAAATATTCAAGTATGTAATATTAAGTATGTTTCTTCTTGAGAAGGAAGTTACAATTTAAGTTGAATTTTTTTTTTTTGTCAATTTTTTATTTTTATTGCGCTCACTGTGAGGAAGAATGTTTGTGTTTCTGTGTGTGAAGTGAAACTTTGGAGCAATTTCAGTTATTACTTATCTAATAAGGAATTAGATCATTAATAATGGATAACTAACTGTGAAGGGGTGGGGTTAAATTAGTATGTACTGCTTCCCACTCCTTTTCATCCTGAGAGCTAAACAAAAAGTGGAGCAATACTTATGCTTTTTACAAATTTTATTTAGTTTTTTTTTCTTTCTTTTTGTCTTTGTTTGCTTAAAATCTTTGTCTGTATATAGTTAACATGTTTGAAATCAAACAAACTAAACAAAAAAAGAAAAAGATTATTTCAATTTAAAAAGGGCTGTAAATAAATCTTTAAAAAAATCTAAATAAATAAATAAATCAGAATGGAGATCAATGCAGCATGCTGCAATTAGTGTGGCCTCTTGGTAGAGTTAAATATAGAACGTTCTTGATTGTACCAATCATTTTTGAGTTAAGTTGCCTTTAATTTACAAGTGGGTTTTTTTTCTCTAAAGACATTGTTTCCAAAATATGCACAACATATAGAAGTACATCAGGTGTTACTGCCAGGGTAAAAAGAACAGGTTAAACATCAGTATCATGCTACAGACATAGCCTGGTTTGAGCAGGTCATGAGTTTTGTTAAATGCCATGTTTGCTAACTGGATGATAATCAAATTTACATAAACACTTTAAAACATTTCTCTATGCCGCCTTTCTTTGGAACTACTTGAAAGTGGTCAGACACATTTCTTTTCCCATTTTAATCTGAATTTATTTTTCTTTCTTTCTTTCTTCCCTAGATGGAAAGATTTGACTGAAACCTCAGGAAATGCACTTGTACACGACAACCAGAGCCTCGACTCTGGAGTAGTGGGACCAGATGAGCCAGACGGATCAGAACACCATCCTTCCCCATCAGGTCAATCAGGTTTGTCAACAAATGTACACCCCACACCGTTTTGACACGAAAATATATGTACCGGTATATAAATAATGTTCATTCATTTCCCCAAACAGTTCAAAATGTCATTTACTCAAGATTCTTGTGTAGTCTTGGTCTTACTTCATGAATGACAAATGTTCATCAGTGTGGGGCAAAATACAGATTAAGCTTTTATCTATCTTATCTTTTTTTATTTTTCTCACCTCCGATAAAAGAATAAAATAACTAATTACAAGATTTAAAGTTTTAGTCCAAAACTTGTTCAAATGTTGATGTCTTTAAACCAAAAGTAAATAAATCAAATCAGCTCTAAATTGCTCCTAACATCAAAAGCACAGATATAATATGGTTGCTTTGAGTGCATGTTTAAAGTATATGAAACATTTGTTTACCAAAGTGTGGTTCAAATTGTCCGTTTGTTCTTTAAATAGTGAAATATCATTTGAGTCAGCATTTTTCAGCAGTGTTTAAATTTTAAGTATACTTTTTAAAAATCTGCTTTATTGTGCCCTAAACGTCATGTGGTACAATAAAAATAGTATAGGAGAGTTGGAGCTGCTGAAATTTCCCATAATGCACTGCATCCTGAACCAGCAGAACAATATTTTAAAGTCTGCAGCTCATTATTGGGATTCTAAGACTCAATGAAAATGTTTAAACACAATATTTAGATGTCTGAAATGTAAGGTCTTGTCTTGGCTTGAGAAATTATTGAAAAAATTGAACCATATTTGGAATATTTATGTTCAAACAAAACTTCAATATTTTGGAAAGCACTGCATAAAAAGTGTGTTGTCCGTTTCTTTTTTCTTTCATGTCAGCGGTAATGAAACGGATAATGTAATTACATTTTCTTAGAAAAAAACAGCAGATAATGCTGCCCACCATCTCAGATTAATTTATGTATTCTGGTGTAACCTCCTGCCAGGGTTAATTTATGTGACACCCGGCTGTGAATCCATGGGGCATAATTATAACGCATTGCTGTGCTAAAGTAGTGTTTGGAATGTAAAAACATCCATAATCATTATTTAGTCTTCTGTGTACTGATCATAATGTAGTAGTGAGTGAGCAAATAAGTAAAGATTTCAAACGGCTCGAGCTAAGATTAAAACCATATTAGCAAATTTTCTATCAAATGTTAGTCCTTCGCTAACTAATAACCTGCTTTGTCCTCTTATGGTCACAAAACAATTGAGGAGTTCTGAGAAGATCTACAGAAAATCTAATTTACTGAAATGGTTGACACATGTAAACATGTTTAGCCTTACCTGTATGTAAGAGATAATGAACACCAAAACCTAAGGCTAGGTCAGGGGTCTGCAACCTCTGCGATAAAAAGAGCCATTTTTGTCACTTTGTTTACTAATTATGATGTCTGGAGCCACAAAACCTGCTACAAGTGTGCACTGTCAACGGGTGGCCCGTGGACCATTACCAGTTTGTTGGAGATGGCTTTTCCAGCCAGTAGGGGTGATATATATTATAAAGTGAAAAATGTCTAACTATTATTAACATTTATTGACATTTTTACATTTTAATACAAAAGAAAAGACTAGATTCATGTAAAGAAAGAAAAAATATATAGTTTTTAACAATTTTATAAAAAAAATAAACCGCTGAACTCTGTAGGCCGATGTGAATTCTCTTTTAATTGTTGAAGAATTAAGTATCCTATGTAAAGACAGTATAAAATTAGGCCAGTTTGTTTGATATCCAGGTAATTTTTAAAGAAAAATAAATACTTTTGTTTACTTTGACTTTGCTTTTTGTATTTTATTCTTAGTGTCATTAAATATTCCTTCTCAGCAGCTTGTCTTAAAGATATTCCTAACCATTCTGCTGGTTTTGAGAGAACTATCACGCGGTGTGACTGGAAGTCGACTTAAAGTGGCAAACTAACTACTAGCTTGATGTAGTCCACGTTTTACACCTTGTATTTGTACCATCCGTCACATATTTGAAAATGACAGGAAATCTGCTGAAACTACCATATCTATTTTCATTGTTGCCAATAATTTAAATAAAATTCAGTTTTATTTTAGTTTTGGTCAAAGCCTGAAAGAGCTGCTGCAGAGGGACCAAAGAGCCACAGGTTGTAGACCCCTGTTCTAGGTGATAAATAAAACAATGTTTGTTAGGAAAATGCTATTTATTTACAAATGCAACTGACTGGTTAAAAAAATTACAATTATTTATTTGTTATACTTGTATAAGCAGTAACTTTTAGCTCACATATTTATTTATTTATATTGACATATATTTTTCTTTTTGTTTCTTGCAGATTTTGAATCTTTTAAAAGATCAAATCACAAGGAGCAAGTTAGCCCTGATACTCACACTACCCATAATGCCTCAGAGATTGAACACTTTGACCAACCAGCAGAGGGAGATGAGGAGGTTGAAGCTGCTGATCAAATGAAGAAGAAACCACAGCTGCACTACCTGGACCAAAGTAAAGACGCTGACAGCAGAAGCAGAGAAGGGGTTGCTGTTCAGCTCGAGCTCCAAGAGAAAGAAATTTTAGACCAAGAAGAGAGCGACGAGGGAGAAAAGACTCCCATGGATTCAGCCGAGTCAGATTCAGACACAGAGCAGGTGGAAACTTTCTTCAGCACAATGAGCCACAGGTATGAAAATGGCACTCAGGAAAGTCACACCTCTTAGGAGACTTAAAGTACCACAAGCTTTCTGTGGGATCGCCAGCGATATTTCCATTTAGCTGTATTAAAATAAACCAGTTTAAGCTACGTGTTTATTGTCGTTGAGCCAAAGCACCAGTGCTGCATCTTTTGACTGCACAGCAACTTAGTTTGTCTGAACCTTTTAAAAGCTATTCAGTGTTACAAATAGGTCTGAACTAAGTTTCTAAATGTCACAATAAAGTGTTTTATTAGTGTATTTTCTTTTGATCACAACCACAGAGAGGCGCTCATCTCATATTTGGGTTTGTAAAGTTTTTGTTCTCTTTGTATTTCCAACATATTTTGCTCTTTTTAGGACACTGAAGAGTGCTAGAAAAGTGTGAATTATCTCTTCTGTCTTTCTCACTTTTGTGGTAAATATAAAAGTGTGCACTTTAGATTGTTGTTGAAAAAAAAAACCTGTTAAATTATAGACAAATGGGCAGAACAGTCTCAGGTTTTGTCAGTCATAGAACTGCATGACACTTTGTGTGAAACCTTTTTTGGTTTTGACATTTGTACCCCTTTTTTCCGTGTGGATGTAGTCGAATAAAAAAACATGTTTTGCATCTTATGTATTCTCCTGTTTGAATCTGTTTTAACTTTTTTATTTTTATTTTTTAGATTTAGTGATATAAGACTGGATGACGACAATGGTATTCCTTCACAAGAGTTTTTGGACTCATGCTATGCAATAGTGCCTGTATTAGGTAGGCTCGTTACAATTCAGTCTCCTCTCATCTTTTTCTGCTTTCCTGTTTACCATTACACTCATTTGCATCTTTGGTCATTTCAGCTTTTATTACTTTGATAACAAATATTTCCTCTTTACTTGTTTGTGCTTGGCATGGCATTGAAACTTGTCTTTAATGACGTGGCAGCTTTCAGTATTCAGTTTTAAGCTTTGACTTCTGTTTGCCGCAGTTGTATGTAAAACGGTGGCTTTTATTTGGGTTTGCTGCATATGTTTGTCGTACGGATCGGCTTGTGCATTAAGTGATCATTTCTAATCAGATCTCTTTATACATAAAAACACAACCTACAACAGTTCGTTGATCCACGCACAGGACATCACCAGGTCTTATGGTACTTGTGTAAAATATGAATACATTCAGTTCATGCTTGAACCATTACTTAGACATTAAGCTGTTTCCATTTTACTGGAGTTACATTATTTGGAGAATGTTTTTGAAACATTTTAATGAGCTCAGTTTTGTAGAAGATGCAACATGAAAGAAATAACACTGATGTGGTTTTGGCAGAGCAGAGCGCAAAGTCGACTCCAGCTCAGATTAAAGAAACAAAATTAAACTATTAAACTTTGTTTTCATTCTGAACCACTTTCTAAAAACTGAGTGGAAAACAACCAGATCGGCCTGTCGCGATAAACAATAAGTCAATTAATCGCATGATAAATGACCTCATTTTCATTTATCGGCTTTATTGTTTCTTTGTCTCTTAAAACAGCTACAAGGCCAACCAAAGTGCTGTACAGACAGAACAACAGACAGCACACGAAGCAATATACACAATGAAGTAAATCAAAACTATAGAAAAAAATAATAATAATAAAGACATAAAATCGATGCAGATAGTAAATATAACGACAAACCAGTGTGGAGCATACAGGTTCAAAACACAGATCCTCTGGTGTTGAAAGCTACTGAATAGTAGTGAGTTTTTAAACAGGATTTAAAAACCGAGAGGGAGTTAGTTAGTTTCAAACTATTATCATTTATTGCAATAATTTCTGAGACAATTAATCGCCCAGCAAAATTTGTTATCGTGACAGGCCTACAACCAGCTCTCAGACATTGTTTTTAGTAGACTACAAGTTGAGTGATCAACAAGAATAAAAAACACATTTCATAAATAGTCAGTTTATCATTTTTCTTTTATGTTTTGTGCATCTTGAGCATTCATGAGCTGCGTCTTATAACTTGCAATCTCGCATTTCCACCTCTGATCAGCTGGTGAGATTGCGTTCAGAATAATCCACCTTAATTTAGCCGTCTGACTCATCCAGGTGGAAAAACACTACGGACTGATGTGGCTGCAAACAAGCAGCAAGCCAGCACTGGGTGTTTTCTTATGAACATTTTGTAGAAAGACAAAAAGGGTTTTGTCAGGAAAAAGTCACAAAGTAAAAAATTTACAGCTCACATGAATGACATTTTTTTTATATTTATACAATAAAAACTTAATTTAATGCAAACAAAGGCTTTATTGCATGCTAAAAGGCACACAAATTTGTAAAGTTGTTGATTTTGTAGAAATAAATATTAATATGATCCTTTAAATTGTCATCAATACTTCATCACGTAGCACTTAAGTGTAAATTAAACAAACTCCAGAAGCAGCAAAGAAATGATGATAGATTTTCTCTTCCTCAGACAAACTGGGGTCCACAGTTTTTTCACCAGTTAAAATGGATTTTGTTGGAAATATTAAGGTAAGTGCATGTTTCAAAGAAATAATGAACAAATTAAAATATTGATAGATTTGCTATATAAAAAGTGATGTAAATGTGGTGGCACAGTTGGTAGAGCTGTTGCCTCACAGCGAGAAGGTCACCAGATCAAATCCCAGCTGGGGGTCTTTTTGGGTGGAGTTTGCATGTTCTCTCCATGCTGCATGGATTTTCTCCGGGTACTCCGGTTTCCTCCCACAGACCAAAAACATGCATGTTAGGCTGATTGGTAACTCTAAATTGTCCCTAGGTGTGAGTGAGAGAGTGAATTGTTGTCTAGTTTGTCTCTGTGTCCCTGTGATGGACTGGAGACCTGTCTAGGGTGTCCCCCGCCTCTCGCACAGTGACTGCTGGATATATGGGCACCAGTGACCCCTGTGACCTGAAAAGGAAGAAGTAGGCAAAGATAATGGATGAATGGATGGAAATACTAGGTCAAACACATTCAGTTAATGAGTAAAGTTTACTGTTCAAATGTGTGTTAAAAGTTATAGGCTTAAAAAGACAACTATAACTGTATATTCTAGGAATTATTAAATGTGTAATTTTGTCATTTAATGAAATAAGAATAATGTCAAAGTAGTATAGGCATTTATATCAGTTTCCAGACCTGTTTTTTATTTTGTTGCAGAAAATCCAGCAGAAGCTGATGTCAAACCCTGACAGCTTCCCCACGCTACAGTCCATTGTACTGCATGAAGTGGAGAACAATGTTGCCCAGGTCCGAAACTCAGCAACTGAAGCTCTGCTGTGGCTCAAACGAGGCCTGAAGTTCCTCAAGGAGTTCCTGTCAGAGGTCAACGCAGGGGAGCAAGACATTCAGGCAGCGTTATGTAAGTGTCTGTGGCGCAGAACTGGACATTTACAAACTTAATGTTTTTTGTCAGTGTATAAATATCGGTTTCTTATATTGTCTCGCCTAGATAATGCTTATGGAAAGACTCTTAGGCAGTACCATGGATGGGTTGTACGAGGTGTATTTGCTGTAAGTGTTTCTTACGTGCATCACTGGTGGGTTTCTGTAGTGCTGAAGTGTGACCGTTCCTTCCCTCCTGTTTTCAGCTGGCGCTGCGAGCTGCTCCATCTTATCAAAGTTTCACGTCTGCCTTGGTGTCGAGCGAGGGTGATGAGCTGAGGCGTGACTTCACCAGCAGCATGCACAGAGACCTGGGATTGTACCTGCCCGCCATGGAAAGGCAGCTAACTATCATAGATGAGCTGTATGAAGAATACAACCTGGAGTCTGATGAGGTGGTGTAAAAACTTGATCAGATTTTGAAGGAAGGACAGAGCCTGTCCAATATATGGAGCAGTGTACACTGCTAAAAGAAAACTGCATTAAATGAATGGTATTTACACATCGATGTGTGTTATGGTAGTTTGAGACGTTTCAGTGTTTTTAAGCTCTTTCAACAAGCAAGGATCTGGATCAAAAAGTTTATATTTAGAAACCCAAAATGTGCAAAACAAGCAGCGGAAATATTGAGACAAATTGTTCTTAATATAAAATGAAGGTCTTGTTCAAAAGACCAGTACTAGCCAAAGGGTTTTAAATCCCAATATGCAGAGCAACTATAAATGTAAATGGTGACACAAGTTTCTGAATCTTAATTATTTGTTGTGGCATATTAATACTTTTCATGTTGTAGGTTCACAACCTCATGATGGATAACTTATGGGAAATGCATAAAATATTTGTTGTTTTTCAGATTGTAAAGCAGTCTACATGCAGTGTTGGTTTTGTGAAACAGAAGTATTTGATACTAGTACTAACGCACTCGAGCAAAAAAAAAAAAAAAAACAAGCAATGTCACATTGTTACAATGCCCAAGTATTTGATTGAATAGGCTAGTTTAAATTGGATTATATTTTTGCAGCAACTGTGAAAACGTGTAAATTATTAAACAACAATTTTCCAGAAACGTAGTCCTCCTCAAGCTTTCAGTTCAAATACTGCGAGCTGCAGCTCTATAGAGTTTTCTTGGGACCAAAAAGAGTTTTCATGTGATTGCTTTAGCTTCTGCTGCCTACAGAAACAGAACCAGATTCAAATGTTCTAGTGAGGACGGCTGTTCATGTGGACGTTCTCTGCACAAATCTATGCATAGTTTACATGTTTTTGTATCTATTTATTACATTGTAAGTTGTATGACAGGCAAAAAAAGTACAACTTTTGTGTGAATGTATGGACATTTCCAAACAGCATGTTTATAGAGAGCATGTTTTATGTAAAAAATAACAGGAAGCAACTGAAAGTGACTAAAGACCAAGGGCTTGAACTGAACCAAGTACAATGAATGATCTGATACATGTTAGATAAATTGTTATGCCTCTTTTCTGTCTGTCCTGAGAATGATCAGTAACTTCTAGCTTTCCAGGTTTTAGCTTTTTAAAATGTTTCAACTCTTTCATCCACGTTCTTCTCTTTATTAAAATGAGAGGTGATCTCTGATGTACTGAATAATTCATGATGCCAATTCAACGTTGCAAGTAAAAGCAAAAAATTACATTTTAAGTTAAATTCAGAATTTGGATTTAAAGGAACATTCTCTTTGGACTACCAAGATTTACTGTATTGTACGTTATTTTATCTTTTTTGTTTATGTGATTCTATACAATTACAAACAAATCATGTAGAATTATTTTAACCCTTGAATGGTAGGATTATGCAAACGTTGTGCAATAGACTGAGTTTCAGTTGCAAATGATTTTTCTTTTTGTCGTTTTATAACAAATGTTGGATTTTCCTTTTTTTAATCGATGTAAACAAGATGCCGTCTGATTTTTACCCAATAAATATGAGGTGTAACTACTTTTCCAGCTTTAAATCTAAATCCAGTCTTCACATTTCAAGGTTGCTTAAGAACTGAGGGTGAGTAGAGTCTGGGTATGGGTTTATGTGCGTGATTAAACTATAAATATGTTAACAGTATTCTGTTCATAATCGCTCAGGGAGGCTGAAATGCAAAAAAAAAAAAAAA